AAAGCCAAGGAGTAGTAGTAAAAAGATTGTAGTAGAAAGAAAAGAGACAAGAGCCCAGAGGAGGGGGCAAAGGAGGTGAGGAAGGAGAGGACAGAAAGTGGAGACGAAAGCAGACGACAGGACAATGTTGGACAGGAAAGGGGGTGAAAGTGAAAGGAGACAATTTTATAGAGAAGAACATTTTCCGTCGCTATCCAGATTCGAACCGGGACCTACAGAAAGAGAGGAGAACACCGTAACCTCTCGACCACGAGGGCCCCCTAGTTTTGTGTTGAAGTTGAAGCGGACTCTACTGTATATACATATTATAAAGTAACAATATTGCATTCTTTTTATCTCATTACTGCACTGTTCGAGACCCGCACATTACGTCATGTACATGTATTAATCCATTTTATTTAACTTTTTGATTTCTAAATCAATCAAGGCTCTCGGCTCTAAACAATATAAATATATATATATATCTTATCCTTCCAGAATGTGTTTGCTTTCTTTGCTTCGTAATTGGTGCGCTGCTAGTTAGCTCAGTTGGTATTATAATTGATCATGGACTGGATGACCCTGGTAGTTTGAACCTCATATAAGGTGTTCTTGAACTACAGTTCATCTAGGAGTTTCCAAGCTTCTCTTCCCAAGGGATTTGATCCTGTCAGAGATGGGCGATACATTCAGAGAGTTCACATTCAAAATAACTGTTCAGAGTTGAAACCGGCATGTAATAAAGTTTTAGTTTTTAGTTTTAGTAAGAGTTTACGGCACTTGCAACACAATGACGTCATATAAGTGCCAAAGATTAGAGATGTTACAAGACAGTAACAAACATAAAAAAGGAGGGGAGATAAAAGACGACAGATGTTTGATAGGAAAGAAGAAGCAAACCACACCAGAGCATCCGCCAACCACTCACACATTTAACATAAGTCATTTCAGTACTGTGATGAACATGCAGTACAGTTTTAAAAGAACGGGCAATATTATATAATGCAAATATTCAAACCACATGACATAAATCAAGAGAAACATTGAACAGTATGAAAACAGTCTTTTTTTTTTGTAGCAGTCGCTTGTCTAAGTCCTTGCAAGAAAAAAAAAAACGTAAAAAGTATTCCCTTGCAGCCAGTCTTTCACAGAGTCCACTTAGCTTTACAGAACAGTTTCAAGTCTCTCCGCTCAGCTACATGACAGGAGACAATGTTTTTGATCCGACTGAGGTCATTTTCTAGGCGGGTAATCATTGTGCTTAAAAAAAACTCAACAAATTCTTGAATACCACGAGTACCTCAAATAAGGATACAACTTGGCAGAGTGGCAACAGCAAACATGATGGAAATATTAGGATCAAACTGTCAAACATATGTGAGGCAGCGCGGTGGAATCAGGCTCTCGTCAATTTTTGGGCATGTAGAGTTATTGGTATCATCTTAAAGCTTGTTCAGTTGTCTTTATTATTTGGATTTTAAAAATGTTCATTTATCTTGAATGCAAGTCGAGATATTTGCGAAAGAAGGAGGTGGGGGTCACCTGTTTTCAGAGATAAAATTAGTGAG